GTGTTGTCGAGCGGTATTGCAACGGTCAGCCCCCTCTGGGTCTCAATGTGGCCGTTCACGGGTCTATACCGCCCAGTAGTGGTCTGTCCAGCTCGTCAGCCATGGTCTGTGCCTCGGCTTTCGCCACAATAATAGCCTTTCACCAAAAGACCAGTTAGTATTCGCGTGATTACCACTTTTGTGCTCATATTTTATGCCAAAAACAAATATTTTTCATTAATTAGTTGAAAGGTTTCTATAATTTTTGTATTTTTAATGTTCGGTGTATTTAATGAACAGATTTTTACATGTGATGTGTATTTAATGGTTAAACTTTTTCTCATGTTTACAAAAATTATTTTATAATTACTAATCATATGTTTTGTGTTTTACATCCCAGACCTGCTGTCCATACCCATCGATAAGCTCGAGATCACTCAACTGTGCATTAAGTCCGAGCGTTACATCGGCACCGACTCGGGCGGTATGGATCAGGCCATAGCCATACTGGCCGAGGAGGGCAGCGCTAAGTACATTGAGTTCATACCGGAGCTGACGGCCGTCAACGTGCGCCTACCAGAAGGGGTCGACTTCTACATCTCCCACTGCGGGGTATCCATGAATAAGGCCGCCACCGCCTACTATAATACCCGAGTGGCCGAGACACGACTGGCCGCCGCATACATCGCAAAAAAACTCAATATATCCGGCTATAGGCTGGGCGACCAGCTATGGGTCGTACAACAGGCCAGTGCTATACCGCTGGCCCTTATGGGCGACAAACTAAAGGAGATCTTCGACCCAAACAAACACTCGTATAAGGCCAGTTGGATGCACTGAACGCACACATCGACCACCACTTGTTTGAGGTCAACGATGAAGGGCACGACCTACTCATGCTGTCATCCCGGCCTAACACTAAACATGGAGTAGACAACAACCGGTGGACACCTACCGACTTTAAGACACCATCGATTGAGACAATGATTGTCAGTAATAGTAGTGCCGGAGGAATGCCTACCAATAATATACATAATCATAGAATGAGTGGACAGCCTATCAGAACGGAAGACACGATAAGAGCACACGTATTGAAGTCTAATGAGATAAATGTATTACCATTTCCTGGGGCCGAAGAGAACCGGGAGGTAATCAGCAGCAGCACCACCACCACCATTGCCACAGATGGTGGACAGGGAGCTAGCACATTTGTAAAACGTGTAAAAGTAGGCGAGATTAGGCTTAAACCGCACCAATTGAGAGCACTGTTAGCTAACCATAAGCTGAATATTGATTGAAATGTATGACAAGTCAATTAAATTTAGTTTTGTGCCGGCTAATAATATATCATTATTATGTCATAATTTATTCTTTAATTAAAAAGTTTAATATAGATTTTGAGTAGTATTTAATATGTAAAAATATGTATTTTGTATAAATATTTGAATAATAGTCTAATAATTTATCATAGACTTTTTTTATTGTAACGAAAAAAAAGGATTTAAAAGGTTTTACATATAATTTTTGAATCTTATATTTTGATTACAAGTATTACAAGTGAATGGAAAAATAAAAATGATTTTTTTGTTGGAAAAAATAATTAATTGTATCATTCATTGGTAACAATTTGTTTGTCATAAAAGAGATTTTTACAGTAAAAAGTTGCTTAAAGAGACAGGAATTATAGTAAACTTCAAATATGACCTCAAATCTTAATAATTATATTTTGTACGATACGTAAAAATGAGCTTGGACTAAATAGTATTGCAAAATATTCGGTGTGTATTAAGTATTGACAATCAATAGGGGTTTTTTAAATGTTTAAAAATCTAATGAATTGGTAATAAAAATGGTATTTGCATTCAATTGCATTGAATTATGGCTTAATTGTTATTATTATTATTTATAGTAACATTATGTGTAATTATTTGGCGTCGAAAAAGGTATCAAGGTAATAGTATTGACTCGAAAAAACACAAATATTTTGCGACATAAAACATATATAAATGGTGATTTAAAAATATAACGTGAAATATACTGAAAATAAAACTGCACAATTAATTACATAATTAAACGTATTTTTATTTAGAGTATTTTTACTATGTACAGTAAAGTGCATCTGTGGAAATATGTGTGAATTATTTACTATTTTTTATTAATAATTAAGTTTTATATTAATTTAAGAGTTTTTGTGTATTAATATACAAAAAATAATTTGACACAAAAAATACATTATCGACAAAAAACTAACCTAGACCAAAAAAGACTAAATACCAATTAACAGCTAACACGTGACTAATCAAAACAGTTTGTATATAAGTGCGCCCCCGGAGGGCCCGCTCTTACAGTTAAACTTTGAATGCCTACTCATATTGGCCTCAAATGCGGGCGACTTGTCGGCGGGCACTAGACTCACGATACAACCGCCCCAACCGGCGCCGGTAAGCCGCGAGCCTATGGCCCCGTAGGACAGGGCGTGTTGGACCAGTTGGTCGAGCTTGGGATGGGAGCACTCGTAGAGGTCGCGGCAGCTGTCGTGCGACTCATTCATGAGTTGGCCCAACCGGTCCACGTCGCCGGACGTCTCGCACACCCGCCTAAACTCCTGCACCCGATAGGCCTCGTCGTAGGCGTGTAGGGCTCGCTGGTAGAGCCGGAACGTGTCGATCGGCTCCGACACCCGCGACAGGAAAGTCCGCTCCAACTCGTCGTTGTCTATGCCTATCGAGTAGTGAATGGTTTTCATTAGTAATTAGTTTTAAAATTAGTTTTTAAATGTTTTTTTTTCAGTGGATTATAGTTAATATGTTATGAATTTGTTGCGTAAAGAATATTCAGTGTATTCTAGAAATGTGTTTTTAAAATGACTATTAAATGTATTTACATAACAGATGTCAGGATAATTTATTATATTAGCTAGTAAGTTATGAAACTTTTTGTTTAATAATGTTTTATGTTTGAGTTTTAAATTATTTTATTTTCTCTATTATATTTAAGTTGCGAAATTTATATTTGAATATAGCGAATGTGCTATACAGTAATAAATAAATAAATAAATTTATTTCTAGACATTATAACTTTGCATTCAACGCACAATTGAAATGTGTTTTTAACCTAAATTCGCATTAAATGTGAAATATTTCACAATCAGTGATACATTTCGTGTAATTATAAACTCGTCTCATAAATTCCGCACACAAACACTTCACGTGTTATCAAAACTAGTGATTTAAAATCAATTACTTTAGCAAAAATACTTAAGGCTTATCGCAAATACCTACAAAAAAAGCTCAGCAATTAATTCAAAAAGTAGACACAATCAATGCACCGGTATTGTGAACTCTCATACAATTCAGAGATAATGACCTGAATTTAATTGAGTTAACATAGAAAGCAGATCTCAATATACAGTATATCCTGTTATGACTGAAAGCTAAACATATGTCTAAACAGTTGCTATAATTTTGGTGTATTTAAGGAATCTCTCTCTCTCTCTCTCTCTCTCTCTCTCTCTCTCTTCCAGTAATTATAACCGGAGCTCAAAGTGATTGCGTTTGTGATGACAGCCCTCGGAGATGACTACACAATAATTTTAAGGCACAAAACTAGTCGTTAATCTACTGTAAGGCCGCACCGATTTCAGAGCACAGGTATTGCGAATGTCATAGGATTCCCATCGCATCAATCAATAAATCAATACTAAATGACTAATAATAATCATAACTTAAATGCTTAATAAGATAAATGATTGACTTATTCACTGACACACTAATGGTTTTAAATGATAGAAAATATGTTTGTTTTGTAAACTATCGTCAAATAAATTTAATGAAAAAACTAAATTATTTATTTGAACAGGCTATCAATCACATGTACAAAAAAATCCTAACCTTCAGTCAAACACAATAATAATTCACAATAGAAAAAATTATAAAACTATCTCTAATACCCAAACCACAACCAAACCTCCCCCGGAAAAACACCCCCAAAACCGGGTATACATACCTAAAACTGAGACAATCTCTGCCTTATTATACGAGTGTTTGTTTGGGTCGAAGATCTCCTTTAGTTTGTCGCCCATAAGGGCCAGCGGTATAGCACTGGCCTGTTGTACGACCCATAGCTGGTCGCCCAGCCTATAGCCGGATATATTGAGTTTATATACGAGTGTTTGTTTGGGTCGAAGATCTCCTTTAGTTTGTCGCCCATAAGGGCCAGCGGTATAGCACTGGCCTGTTGTACGACCCATAGCTGGTCGCCCAGCCTATAGCCGGATATATTGAGTTTCTTGGCGATGTATGCGGCGGCCAGTCGTGTCTCGGCCACCCGGGTATTATAGTAGGCGGTGGCCGCCTTGTTCATGGATACCCCGCAGTGGGAGATGTAGAAGTCGACCCCTTCTGGTAGGCGCACGTTGACGGCCGTCAGCTCCGGTATGAACTCAATGTACTTAGCGCTGCCCTCCTCAGCCAGTATGGCGATGGCCTGATCCATACCGCCCGAGTCGGTGCCGATATAGCGCTCGGACTTAATGCACAGTTGAGTGATCTCGAGCTTATCGATGGGTATGGACAGCAGGTCTGGGATGTAAAACACAAAACATATGATTAGTAATTATAAAATAATTTCTGTAAACATGAAAAACGTTTAACCATTAAATACACATCACATGTAAAAATCTGTTCATTAAATACACCGAACATGAAAAACACAAAAATTATAGAAACCTTTCAACAAATTAACGAAAAATATTTGTTTTTGGCATAAAATATGAGCACAAAATGGACACAAAAAAAGTGGTAATCACGTGAATACTAACTGGTCTTTTGGTGAAAGGCTATTATAGTGGCGAAAGCCGAGGCACAGACCATGGCTGACGAGCTGGACAGACCACTACTGGGCGGTATAGACCCGTGAACGGCCACATTGAGACCCAGAGGGGGCTGACCGTTGCAATACCGCTCGACAACACCCTTATAGCCGCACTGGAAATAGTGGTACCATTGAGGCGGTTGCGGGAACTCCAGGTTCGTGGCATCGATGGTGACGTCCGAGTAGTTGTCAGCGTCTAAGTTGGTTAACTCAATATGGGGGCTGGTGTTGACGGACACGGCCATCACGATGTCCTGTTTGAGAGCCATGGGGAACACCGGGTAGCCCACGTAGTCGATGTGCTCGCCAATGATGTTGACCCTCCCGGGCACCCGCACCAGGAATACCGGTTTGTCACCAAATTTCGACTCAAAATGCTTGACCAGACGCTGTACGCGATCCGATTGGCGCAACTCATCCGGGATGTAGATCACGGGTACGGTGTCCGATGGCATCGACATGTTTGCTCAGCAGTTTGGTTTAACCCTGGCGATTGAATCATAGATATGAGTTTAATAAAGCACCTTTTTATGAGAAAATAATTTAATGTTTTAAATTTGTTTTTATATTAATATAAAATAAAGTACTTTTATGTGTACACAAAATACTGTTTCGTAATTGTGTTATAAATTATTGAATATTCACTCAACAATCGTATATCATATACGTGTAGAAAGTTTTTTTGTTGTAAATGAAAAGTAATAAAATATATGAAACTTTTTTTTGTGTTCACTGTTTTGAAGCTATTAATGTGTTTATAATACCCTGAATACAATAACTTACTTATACTGGTTTATATACACAGTACGGTATAAGTAAATGTTTGTGTGTTTAACACAATATTAAAAGCAATGGAAAAATTATGTTTGTCAATTCAATATCTAATCAATTGATTAATTATCACTACTTAATAACATACAGTGCATTCAATTCAATAAAACTGCACTAAGTTAGTTTAACAATCACATGTATTAATACTTTTCTATCAATGTCTAGTATTTCAAAAGTGTATTTAATTTTCCATTAAAAGGGTATTTAATTTAATATAAAGTTACATGTATATATGTTTTGAACTCTCTCTCTCTCCCTCTCTCTCTCTCTCTCTTTCTCTCTCTCTCTCTCTCTTTCTCTCTCTCTCTCNCCTCTCTCTCTCTCTCTCTTTCTCTCTCTCTCTCTCTCTTTCTCTCTCTCTCTCTCCCTCTCTCTCTCTCTCCCTCTCTCTTTCTCTCTCTCTTTCTCTCTCTCTCTCTCTCCTACAAAACAAAGTCAAACACAACATAATTAGCTAAAAATAATTGATGTTTTTGGTGACAGTACTGGCGATTGGCCACACAAATGGTGTGGTATTTAATTACTTTTCAATTAAGTCTCGCTATTAATAGATAGCAATTTATATCACTTAATGCTATGGATAAGACAAACAGCGATTAAAAAATAGGGAAATCAATAAATAAATTACAATTTAAATGCGTGATTGAGAAATATAACTTATATTAAAATATAAATGCAAGGTCTATGTGCATTTAAAATATAAGCATGTATATGTAGTAGCACATACATTTGCATTTTTAATTAAATGTCATTATAGAGATGTCACATTGAATGCAATTATAATTATTATGCATAAGATACATGCTGTAAGGTAAACATGCTAATTTAAGTCAATTAAATACCTGTAATTTCAATGTATGAATATCACACTAAACTATTGACAACAATATTACAGATATATTAATAATAATTATTAATTTTAATTAATGAGCCAACAAATGAGCTATTCACAATATTTTCAAAATCAATAAATATTACTATATATTATGCGTTGATTTTTCAATGATTACATTATTAATGATTAATTGTTACAATAAGTTACAATAATTCACAATTAATACACCAATTAATCCTATGATATGTTTATTATTGTGATTTATAACACATTATCGGTGTTTGGCATCACATCTGTCTGTCTATCAAATACACAGGCATTGGAGGCAAACATACAACACATGTGTAAGTATGGCCTACAATACACGCCTTATACTTCATACAGAATAATGTGGCTATTTTAGACCCTGTCCCTTTTAGCCTATTATAGCCTATTTTCACCCACTTTTGTTTACTCACTCCCTCCTAGCTATTCAATAGGTATGTTATATTTGTACAGAATATAAGGCTATATATTCTAGACATGCGCTGATTCTACACAGTAATGTATATGAGAATATTCTGTGTGTTTGTATGCAGTGGTAGTGCTACTGGTGAGCACCCGGTGTATGAATTGTGGGCTTATTATGAGTTTTATTTTTTATTTTAATAATTTATTTGACGTTTCATTTATTTTTTTATGATTGCTGTTTATTGTTATTTATTTCATTTGTGAACAATATATGAGTACAATGTTGCGGGGATATTTTTTGTTGAGTGAATATGACTAGCGTTATAATAGTATAAATGTTTAAATAATTAAACCATAAAGTATTAAAATGGTTTTCATGTTAAAATTAGGTAGTACTATTTGAATAGAAAATAGTATTCTTAATAACTTTATCATTGACCATGTCACTTTCCAGGTGAATGTTTAAATGTTTGCATTGTTTTGTATTTATTTATCAAAATTATATTATCTAGTATTTGAATATAATTTACTCCTTATCAATTTTGGGTTTAATGTTTTCTCGCAAAAATTATTGAGTAATTTATTTAATTATATTAATCAATAAAAGTTATTATAATAGTTCGACTTTATTTGAATAAAATTATTACAAATGTTCACCAAATATACGACTGAACAGAATGTGCGGGGATTTTATGGGAGACCTTACGACTGGACTCTTGGATAGTGAGCACAATATCGTCGGCGCGGGCATTGAGTGCCACCAAAACCGTCTGATTGTCGGGTCTCTGGACTGTGAGGACC